GAAGAAATATTCTTTATTCAATTTCACCATGGATCACTGAACACTGAAAATCTCTAACCCTGTAAGATAACAGTAAAAAATCACTAACAAATTGCTATATGTGTGAATTTTTCTCTCCCAAACTCTGCCTCGAAGTATTGGAAAAATTAAATAAAAAAACAATGAATCACCTGTCCTTACTTTCCCAGAATACTCTTTTTCATTTGATAATTCAAAATGCAAGTAGCTATCGTAAAAATATTTAATAATAGTATTATAAAAAGCAAAACAAATAAATTATAACCGCTAAAGTGAATTGCTGGGTAGCCAGGGCAAAATTTATTCATGCAATCGACAGAGCCATGGATGGACGTTCACTCAACCATTCATGCGAAAGGGATTTCCTTGCTATTTCTGGAACTGGGAATTATTTTTAAAATAAATACCAAGTTTTGGTTTTGCGAAAATTTACGATTTTCAGAAAAGACGCAGAAAAAAAACAACACCCAACTGTCAGAACTAAAATTTATTGCAGCAAACAAACGCTGGGGTCTACACTGAACTTATCGAAGTGTCAAATTTAAAGACTTATATTAGAGGAGAACTCTTGGCGTTTTGATAAGGAACCCACATCGCCGATAAAAGGCAGCACGGGACAGTTTTGGTTTGTTGGTTGGTTGGTGGCTTTTTCGAAAATAAGGTAAAAAACAAATCTGTCTGAGCATTTGATTAATCAGCTTCTGATATCATTGAGAAATTTCGTGGCTACTAGTTGTGAAAAGCGTTAATATTTAAAAGAGAAGTGGGAGTCAGAGCTGTGGTCAAAAGTATTTTAGGAAAAAAATTCAAAAAATTTTAACAAAAAAAAAAAAAAAAAAAATCCACAATGAAAAGATTTTTATCGTGTTTTTTTGTTTAAATTGAAATTTATTTTTCAAAAGAATTTTTTATTGTGGATTTTTCTTAAATAAGTTTTAAAGCAATTTTTTTAAAACTAGTTTTTTCAAAAGGTTTTTTTTATTGTGGACTTTAAAAAAAATTGAAATAAATTTTTTATTGTTTTTAAAAAAAAATTCAAATTAATTTTTTTAAAACTACTTTATTTCTATTTTCAATTTTTTAACACATTTTCAAAATAATTCCTTATTGTAGATTTTTTAATAAAATTTTTTCAGTTGTCTTAAAAAAATTCTACTGTAAAATTTATTAAATAAAATCCACAATAAGAAATTATTTTTAATTTTTTTTAAATCCACCCCAAATTTTTTTTTTTTTGAAAAAAATTACTTTTAATTTTTTTTTAGAAAATTCTATAAAAATAATTTCTTTTAAAAAAATCACCTCAATTTTTTTAGAAACAATTTTTGTTCCTACTTTCAATTTTTTAACAAATTTCAAAATATGTTCTTATTTTGGATTTTTTAAAAACAATTTCAGTTGTTTTAAAAAAACTCTACTGTAAAATTTGTTACAAAAAATCAACAATAAAAATATTTTGATTTTTTTTAAAAATCCACAAAAAAAATATTTTGAAAATAAAAATACTTTGAAATATTTTTTTTTAGGAAATTCTACAATAGTAAATTCTTTTAAAAAATCACCTCAATTTTGTTTTAGAATCCACAATAAATTTTTATACCCTACAACACTATGTGTTGGAGGTATTATAAGTTTGATTGGGCCAAAAATTATGTAACACCTCGAAATATTGGTTTCCCATATAGGAAAGTATATATGGATCTTCCTAGCTCGCCGAGCTGAGTCGATCTAGCTATGTATGTCCGTCCGTCCGTCTGTCCGTCTGTCCATGTTAATTTGTAATCACTCTACAGGTCGCAATTATGGCCCGATCTTCACGAAATTTAGAATGGAGGTGGGGCTAGGGTCAGAATAGAACCCTATTTCTTTTGGAGATGATCGCCAAATGTTTAGGGGTTGAAATGGACCAAATACTGAAAAAATGTCGGATTTTGCAGTAGCTATACAGGTCGCAATTATAGACCAATCGACACGGATTTTCGCATGTATCTAGAGTTTAGGGCGGGGAAGAAGCCTACCAATTTGGGTGGTCATCGGATAATATTTAGCGGGTAAAATAGACCATATCTTTTGTGTTGAAAAAAATCAAAATTTTTCATTAAACAGCGAATATTTTAAATCCCGGCGAAATCACAAAGCCATGACAAGGTTACTTCTGATCTTTACATTGATGTTAACATCCAACAAAACGGATATATAGCAAAATATGTGCGATATATATATCTATCAAAGAAGATATGCTTGAAAAATCTCTTATATGTCGAGAACGGCTGAACTGATTTCGACAGTTCTCATTAATTCAGAATGGCCTTTTGGCAGGAAAGAAAAAACGTCTAAAAAAATCGCATAAAACTATCTCTCTAAAGATGAAAATATTGATTTTGTAAAATTTTCTCATATTTTTTTCAATTTTGTCATATTTTTGGCATATTTTTATTTTGAATTAAACATTTGGTAATATTTCTACAGCTAACAAAACTAAGTAGTTAGGATATCAGGATATCATATACAGATCGCATTTATGGCCCGATCCTTACGAAATTTTGCATGGGTATAAGATGAGGGTCAGAATAGAAGCTTACTCTTTTTGGAGATGATCGCAATATATTTAGGGGTTGAAATGGACCAAAAAACTGCAAAATTGTAAGCAGGTCGTAATTATCGCCCGATCCTCACGCACATTTGAATGGGGGTTACCGGACATTGCAAAAGCCAAGCAGTTTTGGATGGCCATCCAAAAATATTCAATGTGTGAAATAGTTTGCCAACTTTTGTAGACAAAATACGAAAATGTCCATTCCAGTGACTTTTTGGAGAATTCACAAATACAGGAAAGACGCACTTCTGACTATTTCGTTAAGGCTGATTTCGTTGAAGAATATAGTCAAATGTCTGTATCTCATATAGATGCGTTTCAGTCAAAATCAATAATAAATGTTAATCTTTTGCCACTTCTGAGAGATTATAGGTCTTTGGGAAATATTGGTTCCAGATCTAGGAAGACCATTTACCAATAAATTGGGAATGAGAAAATTAGTTTAAGTTGCTATTATTCGAAAATTAGAGAACGAAACCTGATGGTTTTCTTTTATTATCTGTCACAATATCTTGTGGAATTCTTTCGACTATCTCGCCTATATAAACTGTATCATTTATTATAGTGTTGTAGGGTATTCAACGGTCGGCCCGCTCGACTGTAGCCTTTGCTTACTTGTTTTTAATTAAAAAAGAATTATTTTGAAAAAAAAATACTTTTGAAAACTTTTTTAGAAAAATCTACAAAAAAATTCTTTCGAAAATTCACCTCAATTTTTTTTTAAATCTTCAAATTTTCCAGATGTATTAAAAATTGTACTGAAAATTTTTTTAGAAAAATCCACAATAAAAATATTGTTTTGAAAATTTGAAAAATATTTTCAAAAAAAAATTAATTTGAATTTTGAATTTTGAAAAAAATTACATTGATTTTTTTTTACAAAATACTACAGTAAATAATTCTTATAAAAAATCAACCCAAAAAATTTTTTTGTTAATCCGCAATAAATTTTTTTGTGGATTTTTCTAAAAAATCAATTTTGAAATTAGTTTTTTTTTAAATATTAATTCTTTCGAAAATTCACCTCATTTTTCATTAAAAATCTACAAATTGTACTGAAATTTTTTTTAGAAAAATGCACAATAAAAATATTGTTTTGAAAATTTAAAAAATATTTTGAAAAAATTAATTTGAATTTATTTTGTTTAGAAAATTCTATTTTTTAAAAAATCCACAATAATTTTTTTAAAGAATTAAATAAAAGAAATATTTGGAAAAAAATTACATTGAAATTTTTTTTTAGAAAAATCCACACTAAAACATTTTTATAAAAAATCAACCCCAATATTTATTTTTTAAAATCCACAATAAAATAGTTCTTTTTTTTGGATTCTTCTAAAAAAAAAAATATAAAGTATTTTTTTTAAATATTTTACAAATTTTAAAAATAATTTTTTAATTGTGGAATTTTTTATACCCTCCACCATAGTATGGAGGGTATATTAAGTTTTTAAGTTTTCATTTTAGACCCCACAAAGTATATATTTCCTTGAGCAGCATAAAATTCTATGTCGATTTAGCGATGCCCGACCGTCCGTCCGTCTGTGGAAATCACTCTAGCTTTCGGACGAAATGAAGTAGATTTATAACATTTTACTCAAATGTATATTATGTCTGCAGGACTTTTGGTATTGAAAATGGGCCATGTAGTTCCACATGGTATAGCCCCCATATAACTGTACCTCCCGATATTCGGTATTTGCATGATTTTAGCGACATTATTTACCGGAATTGTTTCAAATTTGGTATTCGAAGCTCGTAATGAATACTACAGCCTATGACAGAAAATTGTCTGTGCAGGTCCACGTCTTCGAATAGCCCCCATACAACGGTACCTCCCAATATTCGGTACTTTGATGATTTTAGCGACATTATTCGCCGAAATTGTTTCAAATTTGGTATTTGAAGTTCGTAATGGATACTACAGCCTATGGCAGAAAATTGTCTGTGCAGGTCCATATTTTGGATCTATATAATATTACCTTTCTATATTGATGCCCCATGTTTTCATGGTTGGTCTAAATTTTTTTATCTACTTTTGGAGAGACCTAATTTTTAAATCCCTTTAAAATTAAATTTTTGGAAAAAAATATTTTTCTCCTCTCTGACTTCCCCCCTCCCTCCCTGTAAGAGCCCGCCCCTGTTTTCATGTTCGAAATGCTCATTATTTCGGTGTTTGAGTATGTTTCTGATGTTATGTCTATTTTTTGTGCGTTCGACTTCGATTATCGATTGCCAATGTTTTCGATCATGCCAAAGAGTGTCAACCAAATAATAATTTATTAACTCCGGTAGCCGTTATTAGAAGCATGATTAATTTAACATTTATACTTAAGGTACGGTTGGTAAATTATTCAAAGTTAGTTGGGTATTTTAGTAATTGCTGTGTCTCCGATGAACGCCGGAAACGCAAACGGCGCTCCATAGTATTGACACAATATAAATAACAACAAAAAGAAAAAAAAAAGAGAAGAAGAAAATTGGTGATTTTCTTTTGTTTTAGAGAAATGTGTGAGTGTTCAAAAAAAAAAAAAAATCTGAAGAGATTTATGCAGCATTGTAGATTTGTGACATATATGACATTGTGCAATATCAGTAGAGCGTGACCCATATCTTATCGTAATGGTGTTGACAAAATCATGATATTTGTTATTACAAAATAAATAATTTTTTCGAAGCGATTTTGTTAAAAAAAATGAAAATCGAAGACAAATTATTAAAAAATATAAATTATTGGAAAATAAAAACTTGAAAATGTAATTTTCCTAAAAACTAAAGAAGGCTACCCTTCGAAAAATCAAAAATATTGAAATAATTAAATAAAAATTTACATAATACAAGTGAAAGTATCGAACATGTGAGGTGCAAATTTTTGGTGGGTCAATAAAGACCCAGACCCAGAATTATTTTGGATGTGCTCAAAAAAAAAATATCAAAAAATAAAAAAGCAAGAAATAAAATAAAAAAATATATATAAAACATTTTCAATATTTGTTCGGATGGAAGATATTCCCTAAAAATTGACATAATAAAAATAGATAAAGTGCTTAAATTATGAAAAAAAATCTGGCGATCCATTGACATTTAGGGGCTGGGATATTGTTCTGAAAAGGGAGATTTAAACAATTTTTAATTTCATTTAAAAAAAAAAAATAAAAAAATATATTTAAAATTCCATCAAAGAACAAAAAAAGAAAAATATATAGACATGGTCCTTCTCGGAAGCTTAAGGAATTCTGTGCAAAATTGTGAGACCCCAGTGGGGCTAAGGACTCGAAAATTAAATAAAATGTTCAAAGCTAAAAACATGATAAAAGTCGTAAAAAACATGTAATAAAAATTACTGATTATATATGGCCGAAAAATAATGATTTGTAAGGTGTAGCAGTCCAATATTTGGCACCTAGGTTTTTGAGACCCTGTTCCAAAAACATAAAATATTTTAGAAGCCTGGCACATCGGGGGACGACGATATGATGCATTCAAAATAAGCTTTTTAGCGAAGTTATATAAAGAATATATTCATAATATAAAGAACTGAATAGATATGACCGAAAAATAATGATTATTTTATGATACTAGTCCAATATTTGGCACCTAGGTTTCCGAGAAGCTATTCAAAAAACATAAAATATTATAGAAGCCTAGCACATCGGGGTACGAAGATATGATGCATTCAAAATAAGCCTATGAGCGAAGTAATATAAGAAATATATTCATTATATTAAGGACCGATACATATGAGCGGAAAATTATGAATGGCAAGGCCTATCTGCCCAATATTTGGCACCTAGATTTTTGAGACTCTGTTCGGAAAACATAAAATATTATAGAAGCCTGGCACATCTGGGGACGAAGAAATGATGCATTCAAAAAATATATTCATTATATTAAGGACCGATAAATATGAGCGGAAAATTATGAACGGCAAGGCCTATCTGCCCAATATTTGATACCTAGATTTTTGAGACCCTGTTCGAAAAACATAAAATATTATAGAAGCCTAGCACATCGGGGGACGAAGATATGATGTATTCAAAATAAGCCTCTGAGCGAAGTAATATAAAAAAATATATTCATTATATTAAGGACCGATAAATATGAGCGGAAAATTATGAACGGCAAGGCCTATCTGCCCAATATTTGATACCTAGATTTTTGAGACCCTGTTCAAAAAACATAAAATATTATAGAAGCCTGGCACATCGGGAGACGAAGATATGATGCATTCAAAATAAGCCTTTTAGCGAAATAATATATAGAATATATTCATAATATAAAGAACTGAAAAGATATGAACTGAAAAAATAATGATTGTTTTATGATATTAGTCCAATATTTGGCACATAGGTTTCCGGGATCCCGTTTAAAAAACATAAAATATTATAGAAGCCTGGCACATCGGTTAACGAAGATATGGAGCATTCTAAATAAGCCTCTGAGCGAAGTAATATAAAGAATATATTCATAATATAAAGAACTGAATAGATATAGCCGAAAAATAATGATTGTTTTCTGATATTAGTCCAATATTTGGCACCTAGGTTTCCGAGACCGCGTTCCAAAAACTTAAAATATTATAGAAGCCTGGCATTCAAAATAAGCCTCTGAGCGAAGTAATATAAAAAATATTTTCATAATATTAAGGACTGATACATATGAGCGGAAAATTGTGAATGGCAAGGCCTATCTGCCCAATAATTGGCACCTAGATTTTTGAGATCCTGTTCGACATAAAATATCGAAACATAAAATATTATAGAACCCTGGCACACGGGGGCACAAAGATATCTAGCATTCATAATAAGTCTTTTAGCGAAGTTATATAAAGATTATATTCATAATATAAAGAACTGAATAGATATGATCGAAAAATAATGATTTATAAGGCGTAGCACACCAATATTTGGCACCCAGGATTCCGGGATACCGTTTAAAAAACACAAAATATTGTAGAAGTCTGGCACATCGGGGGACGAAGATATGGAGCATTCAAAATAAGCCTCTGTGCGAAGTAATATAAAGAATAAATTCATAATATTAAGGACTGATACATATGAGCGGACAATTATGAATGGGAAGGCCCATCTGCCAATATTTGGCACCTAGATTTTTGAGACCCTGTTAGAGAAACATAAAATATTATAGGAGCCTGGCATATCGGGGCACAAAGATATTTAGCATTCATAATAAGCCTTTTAGCGAAGTAATATGAAGAATATATTTATATTATAAATATCTGAATACATATGGCCGAGAAAATAATAAACGGCTAAGCCTATCAGCTCAATAGTTAGTACCTTGGTTATTGGGACCCTGTTCGAAAAACATAAAATATTATAGGAACCTGGCACATCGGTGCAAAAAGATATGGAGCATTCAAAATAAGCCTCTTTGGGAAAGTAATATAACGAATATATTTATAAAATAAATAACCGAATACATATGGACGACAAAATAATGAAGATATTGGTGTCTCAGCTCAATCTTTGGTACCATAGTTGTCGGGATCCCGTTCCAAAAACATAAAAAATTATAGAAGCCTGGCACTCCGGGGGACGAAGATATGACACATTCAAAATAAGCCACTAAGTCTTCAATGTCAGACGACATCTTTGTTGAAAAAAAGATTTCTGTCTAAAAGATTAACTGCCTCTTATAGAGACCCATACCCTCACCTTCTCTTTTAGAAGATCACCGTACGGGTATTTACAGGAAAACAAAAAAATGATTAAGGGTCTGGAGAATCAATCTAAACATCTTCTTTCCTAGATTTAAAAATTTCCTAGAGGGTCCCTCTTGATAATTTAAAAAAAGCACAGAAGACACCTAAAACTATGCTATGGGGCGCCTAAAAAACCTACAAATCAAAGAGTATTTATTTTGAAAAAAAACCAAGGTCTTAAAAATTTCTACAAAAACTTAGAGGTTTTTCAGGTTTCAGGAAGGACCTCCTAAATATAATCTAAAAAAATCAAGGGTCTAAATATGTAAAAATATACAAGAGCCCTAAAAATCCTACCCCAGGGCTTTTTAGGTATCTGTCAAGGGCTTAAAAATTTTTTAAAATCTAAGAGTCATATCCCCCTTCTTCAAAATTTTCTAAAAAAAATCAAGAATCTAAAAATTTCAAAAAATTCAAGAGCCAGAAAAATCCTGCCCCAGACCTTCTTTAAGTATCTGGCCAATGCAAGTGATTTTTGTAGAGGAATGACCTCTTGAAGAGACTTCCAAGGATGAAATATTTTTCTGAAGGCCAGCTTTAAATATCAGAGAGGGGCTCTTTTTTAAATATTTTAAAAAATGACAGGAGACCCCTAAAAATTTCCTTAAAAATCAAGGATTTTTTTTTCAAAAATCCGCGATCTCTGGGGCTTTTTTTGAAATGTTTGAAAAAAAAAAACAAATTTTCTTAAACTTTATAAATTCTGCGAGATTTGGAGAGGGGCCCTCCTGAAAATATTTTCGAAACTTAGGAGGCTCCTAAACTTATTCTATGAATCTAAAAGTCTCCTAAAAATATTCCAAAAAAAAAAAATGTCTAAATCTCTACGAGCCCTATCCTGCTTCTTCAAGGACTTCCTGAATATATTCCAAAAAAAAATCAAGGGTCGAAAAAGTTTAAAAAAATATAAGAGCCCCAAAAATCTTACCCCAGTGCTGCTTTAAGTATCTGGCCCTTGCAAGGAACTTTTGTAGAAGAATGACCTCTTTAAGAGTCTCCAAAGGAAGAAACATTTTTCTAAAGGATTTCTGTAAATATCAGGTCCTTTCATAGATTTTTTTTGGAAAAAATACCTCTTTAGGGCCCTGCCAATGCTTCATTGCCTCATTTTGCATTCATTCAAAAATGTTTTCAAAAATTTCATTTCAGTTAAGACAGCTATTCTTTAGCTATTAGGGCTCTGGAAGGGTCTTTTTTAAGCATTTTTCTAAAGGCATTCTTTAAATATCAGGTCCTTTCATAGATCTTTTTTGGAAAAAAATACCTCTTCAAGGCCCTGCCATAAAAAATGCTTCATTTTGCATCCATTCTAAAATGTTTTCCAAAATTTCATTTCAGTTAAGACAGCTATTCTTTAGCTATTAGGGCTCTTGAAGGGTTTTTTGTAGAGGAATGACCTCTAAGGATGAAAAAAAATTTTGAAGGCCTGCTTTAGGTCCCAGGCCCCTTCATGGGTCTTAATTGGAAAAAAATCTCCTTTAAGGCCCTTCCAGAAAAAAATGTCTCATTTTTGCATGCCATTCTAAAATTATTTCCAAAATTTCATTTCAGTTAAGACAACCTGGGCCTCGAGGTTCATTGCTGCCGTTACTACCATTTTATTGGTGCTATCATCAGTCCGGCAGACCCTGGGACAAACGACTAACAGCAGCAGCAGCAGCGCCACCACCACCTCTACTACCACCAGCATCATCGACGGTGGCACCAGCCGTAGCAGCAATTTCAGTCCCGACACAATCTGTCCCCTTCTGCCCGACGGAACTAAAATCAAGGATCCACGCTACTGCAATGTCTATATAGTCTGTCAGAATGATACCAGCACCTCGTATTCTTGTGGTCAACAGTTTTTCGATCGCGACACCGGCGAATGTGTCGATCCCGCCACCATAGATTGCCTCTCGAGTAATCCATGTGCCAAGAAGCCAACGGGTTTTGTGGCCGATCCCTATAGCTGCAGCAATTACTACTACTGTTCGAATGGTGTGGGCACGCTGGGCCAGTGTTCGACGGGCCTCAATTATAATCCGGATACCAATAATTGTGTTCGTAATTTTTCGTGTGAGATAACCATGCTGCCGGAGGACTATTGTAATATTGTGCCGGAGGGTGTGTTCATAAAGGTGCCCGGTTCCTGTACGGAATATCAATTGTGTTGGCGAACGGAGCTGTTGAATGGTACCTGTCCCGATGGTTTTTATTACGATGCATATCGTGGCGGTTGTGATTATCCCAGTAATGTTGAATGTGTCGAACATAATTCCCAGCTGCCGAATATACCCGAAGATGTCAAGTGCAGCGAAGCGGGCGTTTTCATTTCGGATGGTGTAACCTGTAATGGTTACTTTTATTGCAGCAGCATTGGTGAGGGGGAGTTTGGTATGCGCCATGGCAATTGTCCAGTGGATCGTTTCTTTGATCCCGCCGATGGCGGCCAATGTGTGCCAAGGACGGATATTGTATGCGAACACAATCGCTGTGTCACCCTGGGCATGGATTTCATACAAATGGCAAGTAATACCGGTGATGGCTGTCGTGGTTTTTCGTTGTGTCAAAATGGCCAGACAATCGGACAGGCATCATGTCCGAGTGGCGAGTATTTTGATGAGTGGTCGCAATTATGTGTGGATCATGTTATTGACTATGTGGCCTGTGCTGGGGATGGTGATAACAGTGCGGATGGCTCGAGTAGCACCAGCACCAGCACCACGACCCCCACGGTGACAGCTGAGCCGGAATCAACCATAAATACCAACTCTGAAGTGGCTGAAAAACTTCTGGCTCTGCCCCAACGAATTTTAACACCAGTTCCCGTTCCACGGCTCACCTAGACTTTCAAATTCCTTATATCCATATATATGTATGTATGTATGTATGTATGTATTTTTTCCCATACGTTCCAAAACTGTATTGAAAAATTAAATTTCAAAATTATTTTTAAAACAATAAATAATTGAAACAGATTTTTTTCTGTGGCTTTTTGGCATTTTTTAAAAGATTATCGCAATAATCTCTTACCCGTGCTATGAAATGATAAGAAGACATTTGGGCGATAAGCAGATTTTTCGAATGCCACAATAAAATTAGACATAGATACTGTTATCGTTGTGGTCGGACAAATATTTTGTGGCAAAAAAATTAGTCTTGCAGGTTTCTAGCAATTATTTCAGATGATACTATATTCAAAGTTGCCCTGCCTCAAAGGTAGGATACTCAGGCATCAAAAAAAAAAAAAAAAAAAAAAAAATTAAAAAATAGATGTAATTTCGGCCGGGCCGATCTTTGAATACCCTCCACCGTTGGGAAGGATTTTGGCAATTTAAAAAAAAAAAAATAAATAAATAAAATAAAAAAAAATAAAAAAAAAATTAAAAAAACAAATAAAAATAAAAAAAATCAGTTAAAAATTCTGTAAAAATTTTAGGGTCTATTCGACGACGTGGACCTGCTTGGGCAACTTTTGTCATAAACCATTACAATATTCAAATGCGAAATTTGAATAAAAAAATTCGGTGAATAATGTACCCAAAATCATCAAAATTCCGAATATATCGTTATATGGGGGGCTATACGAAGACGTGGGCCTGCACAGATAATTTTCTGTCTTAGGCTGTAGCCTCCATTGCGAACTTCAAAAACCAAATTTGAAACAATTCCGGTGAAAAAATGCCGCTTAAATCACCAAAATACCGAAAAAAACGGAGGTACCCTTATATGGGGGCTATACGAAGACGTGAACCTGCACATACAATTTTCTGTCATAGGCTGTAGTACTCATTACGAATTTCAAATACCAAATTTGAAAGAATTCCGGTGAATAATGTCGCTTAAATCACCAAAATACCGAAAAAAGGGAGGTACCGTTATATGGGGGCTATACGAAGACGTGAACCTGCACAGACAATTTTCTGTCTTAAGCTATAGCATCCATTACGAACTTCAAATACCAAATTTGAAACAATTTCGGTGAAAAAATGTCGCTTAAATCACCAAAATACCGAAAAAATGGAGGTACCATTATATGGGGGCTATATAAAAACGTGGACCTACATGGTCCATTTTCAATACCAAAAATCCTGCAGACATAATACACATTTGAGTAAAATTGTATCAACTAACTTCATTTCGTTCGGAAGCTAGAGTGATTTCCTAATCCTCTGACAACCAAATCAATCAAATAAAAATCGCCAAAATATGTTGGACGCCACAAAATTCCGCAGACTCAGTCGCAGTCTAGCCAACTGACTCCTAAATCATTAAAAAAAAAAATATATCATCAACATATGTTGGGCCACACAATATAAAATAATCCAGTAAAAATCATTAATATATGTTGTGCGTTACAAAATTCCGTGAACTCCGTACCAGGCTAGACCTCAGATTCCTAAATTATTCAAATAGAAATCGCCAATATATGTTGGACGCCAAAAAATTCCGCATTCTCAGTCTCAGACTAGTCCTTAGACTCCTAAATAAAAAAAAAACTAAATATTTTGGGCGCCACAATCTAGTCCACAGTCTCCCAAATTACCCAATAAAAATCGAGAATATATTTGGGGCGCCACAAAGTTCCACGTCCTCAGTCTCAGGCTAGTCCTCAGACTCCCGAAATAACCCAATAAAAATCATTAATATATATTGGGCGTTACAAAATTCCGTGAACTCCGTCCCAGGCTAGTCCTCAGACTCCCAAATTACCCAATAAAAATTGAGAATATATTTTGGGCGCCACAAAGTTCCACGTCCTCAGTCTCAGGCTAGCATTCAAACTCCTAAGTCAACTCCCAATAAAAATCACCAAAATATGTTGGGCGCCACAATATGTACTCAGATTCCTGAACCACCCAATAAAAATCTCCAAAATATAATTTGGGCGCCACATAAATTTCGCATCCCCAATCTTTGCTCAGTCCTCAGTTTGGGTTTCTAGCCAAAGTTCCAGGATCTCACTAGCATCATCAGGCTAGTCCTTAGACTTCTACAACACCCAATAAAAATATGTTTCTGGGCGCCACAATATTCCGAGTTCTCAGACTCCGAAATCAACAACATATTTTTGGCGCCAGAAATATTCCGCGTCCTCAGTCTCAGATTCCTAAATGGCCTAAAAAAAAACCCCAAAATATGTTGAGCGCAACATTACTTCGGTGAGCTTTCGTTTTAATTATCGGTAATTGTGACACAATTTGGGCGCCACTCCATTCCTCACTCATATAAGTTGATTACTTTCTCAGAATCTACCAAGATATGTTGGGCGCCACCGAATTCCTAAGGCGTCATTGATAGACCTGAGATATGTTAGGCGCCACAAATTCCGTGGACTCAATGTCATAAATGTAACAGAGACGGATTAGATTTGTTCAGGTTTCCAAGGTTCCTAACATGAGTCCCAAATACCTTTGGAATAAACTTCCTAAAGTTTGTGGATCTCCCAACTCAATCACTTAACCTATTTAAGCAAAATTTTTCATATCCCAAACTGATTATGAAATGACCTATAGATGGCAGCACATTCGAAACCTCCACATTGTGTCGGTATCAATTATCGCAGTGATTCTTATCTCTTCCCAAGCGATTTTGAGGTTCGGCAAAATAATTTAATTCTACTCTTAACGGATTTCACTTAAGATGTCAATTTCTAAACCTGATTGAGATATGACAGATAGATGGCAGCCCATTTTTTGGAAATCCCACTTTCGCAGCTATGAAATGTAGATGACACATTAGAGCAAAACTTAACATCTCTTATGGCGAATTGGGTTTCAAGATCGATTCCATTGCTATTATGACAAAAAAATATTCTCTTAATGGATTATATGACAGATAGATGGCAGGCCATCCATTTTTTTTTTTTGAAATCCCATTTCTGGCAGTTATGACATGTAGATGGCAGCAACACATTTATTTTTTCCGACCTTAACCTAATTTGAGCAAAATTTTTCATATCCCAAAATAATTATGAAATGACCTATAGATGGCAGCACATTCATAACCTCTTCATTGTTTCCCCAGCGATTTTAAGGTTCTGCAAAATAATTACATTCTACTCTTAACCGGATACAATTAAGATATTCATTTCTAATCCTGATTGTGATATGATAGATAGATGGCAGGAAAACTTATTTATTTTTTCCGACCTTAACCTATTTAAGCAAAATTTTTCATATCCCAAAATAGTTGTGAAATGACCTATAGATGGCAGCACATTCATAGCCTCTTCATTGTTTCCCCAGCGATTTTAAGGTTCTGCAAAATAATTACATTCTACTCTTAACAGAATACAGTTAAGATATTCATTTCTAAACCTGATTGTGATGTGATAGATAGATGGCAGTCCATCCATTGCTTTCAAAATAGTCACAGCTATGACATAGCTATGACATGTAGATGGCAGCCCAAACTTATTTATTTTTTCCGACCTTAACCGACTTGAGCTAAATTTTTCATATCCCAAAATAATTTTGAAATGACCTGTAGATGCCAACACTATCGAAAACTCCACATTGTGTCGGTATTTTATCATCTTCCCCAGCGATTTTGAGGTTCGGCAAAATAATTTCATTCTACTCTTAACGGATTTCACTTAAGATGTCAATTTCTAAACCCGATTGAGATATGACAGATAGATGGCAGCCCATCCATAGATAGCCCATCAATTTGTTTCAAAATCCATTGTTGCAGTTACGACATGGCGAATTGAGTTTCAAGGTCGATTCCATCGCTATTATGAGAAAAAAATTATACTTTTAATAGATTATGTGACAGATAGATGGCAGGCCATCCATTTTTTTTTGATATCCCATTTTCGCAGTTATGACATGTAGATGGCCGGCAAAACTTATTTATTTTTTCCGATCTTAACCTATTTAAGCAGAGTTTTTCATATCCCAAACTAATTATGAAATGGCCTAAAGATGGCAGCACGTTCATAACCTTTTCATTGTTTCCGCAGCGATTTTAGATTCTGCAAAATAATTACATTCTACTCTTAACAGAATACAGTTAAGATATTCATTTCTAAATCTGTTTGTGATATGATAGATAGATGGCAGCACATCCATTCCTTTCAAAATTCTCACAGCTATTACATGCAGATGGCAGCCCAAACTTATTTATTTTTTCCGACCTTAACCTAATTTGAGCAAAATTGTTCATATCCCAAAATAGTTGTGAAATGACCTATAGATGCCGGCACATTTGAAAACTCCACATTGTGTCGGTATCAATTATCGCAGTGATCTTTATCTCTTCTCAAGCGATTTTTTGAAATCCCATTTTCGCAGTTATGACATGTAGATGGCAGCAAAACTTATTTATTTTTTCCGACCTTAAGCCAAATAATTATGAAATGACCTATAGATGGCAGCACATTCATAGACTTAACATTGTCTCAGTCATCACTTATCACTTTATCTCTACCGCCAAAGACTTTATGGTCCTGCAATTTGTCATAACAGCTAGCTAAATATTATATTCCGGTGAATCGTGTCTCTTTATCGGAAATCAGTTGACGGTTCTTTTTCTTCGTTTCTTTCTGACTCTAATATCTCTAAGATTGTTAAACAAACAATCACGATTAGGGAAAGTACTTAAGAGCCAATTGAGAGAATTGCATGTATTGACAAGAAGTTCCCCACGCAGATGGGGTGGGTGACTGTGCGCCCTGGGTTCAGAGAAATCATATTGAGTTTGTTTGAGGGAATTAATTTTGCGAAGAAAAAAAAAATGGCTTTGGTATATGGGCTTGTTGTCGTCGTCGGTTATCAGGTGGCCGGCCACACACATATATTATAGGCCCATAAAACTTGTCGAAATTTATGGCTGTTGTTTTGAAGGGGTATTTTTGTGTTTTTTCTTCGTTTTGGGAGAAAACTTTCACTGGCAGCCGCTAGTCTGGCACAGATTGCTATCTGAAACGGTTTGGGGAGATTTTTACGGAAGATCCAGAAGAAGAAAAAAAAGGGTATCGAATTTCTTGAAAAAAAAAAAAAAAATAAATAAATAAAACCATGGGTGAGTTCGGAAGGAATTTTGCAGGAAGTTATGTGTGAAAATATTAATTTCGGTTTTCCTCTTTTTCCAGTCCCCCCTCGAATTGGAGGAAAAAAATTGGTTGTACTTTTATACCTAATTTGCTGGAGTATTGGCCGACTGTTGGCCCAGGATTTTGGGGTGTTTGATCCCAAGCTCTTGTGTTCCCAGCTGAGAAATGGCACCGTATTCAAAGATCCAAGATATTGTGATCGCTCGATTGAATGCCGCACCGGTGAGGAGGAGAAAATAAGCAAATGTCCTCGCGATTTGTATTACGATCGACAAAGTGGCCAATGTGTCCAGCCCTCGGCCGTGGAGTGCCTGAACAGTGAACCTTGTTTGTATTACAATTGGGAATTTGTAACCTATCCGTATTCCTGTCAGGGCTATTACTACTGTACCAATGGCCATTCTGTGTATGGCGAATGTACCCAGGGTTCCCATTTCAATCCCCACACCATTAGCTGTGAGGAGAGCTATGAGTGCAACATAACCCTATATCCGGAAAGTTATTGTAACATGGTGGCCGATGGTGTGCCCATCAAGGATCTGAAGTCTCAGGATGGTTTTGAAATTTGCTGGAATGGTGTAGAATATCATGGAACATGTCCGGGGGGTCATGAGTTTGAGGCCTTGACGGGCCGTTGTGTCAGGGACTCACCACCAGAAAATGGGCCTGAAACCCACTTCGATCCCAAGGAATTGTGTGGCCGTTTGCCCATGGGCACCAGGATAAAGGATCCCAGGAGCTGTGATGTATATTTCGAATGTGGAGATGGGATGATTACTTCCGCCAGCTGTGGAGATTTGTATTTTGATCGCAACAAGGGCAACTGTAAGGAGCCACAGGAAGTGGAATGTCTGAGTCGACAGCCTTGTGAAAATAAAAATGGCATTTTCTCGGCAGATCCCTACTCCTGCCAGGGATTTTACTACTGTGACCAAGGCATGGGCCTGCAGTTCGAATGCAAGGATAACAGTAGCTTCAATCCCCAAACGAAACTCTGTGACGGACAATACCAATGTGCAGTAAATTTATATCCTGATGATCTGTGCAACCTCGTTGGTGAGGGGGTTGGTATTCAGGATCCCAACGATCCGGCAGCCTATCAAAAATGCCTGGGAAATGTTTTGCAAAACTTCACCTGTCCAGAGCATACAATTTACGATGGGCGCTCCGGCGAGTGCAAGGCTCTACCCCAAACACCCAAATTCAATCCCTACGACCTCTGCCCCCTCTTGCCCAACGGCACGGCCATCAAGGATCCTCGTTATTGCAACATTGCCATATTGTGCATGAATGACACAAGCCTTACCACATCTTGTGATCAGTTCTATTTCGATTTGGCCAATGGTTTTTGTGGCCAACCCGAGCTTCTGCCATGCCTCTCCAGCCAACCATGTCTGGACAAAGATAATGTCCTTGTGGCCGATCCCTATTCCTGTCAGTCGTATTACAAATGTAAAAAGGGCATCGGTCATTACAAGGAGTGCTCGAAGGGTAAACTATTCAATCCTGCCAAGGGGGAGTGTAAAAAAGATTATGTCTGCAACATAACCATGTATCCGGAGGATATGTGTAACATTGTCCGGGAGGGGGTTAAGATCAAGGATCCTTCAACGGAAAATGGTTATCAATTTTGTAAGAACGGTGTTTTGCTGAGTGACACCTGTCCGGAGGGATTTGTTTACGATGCATTTAAGGGGATGTGCACCAGGGATGTGGAAAGGCCAGAGGAAACGACAATATGGCCGGAAACCAGCACAGAGGCCACAAAGGAAACTCCGACAACTGAAGGACCAACATCTGAAATTACTCCAGGAACCACTGAAGCACCAGAGGTTACCAACAGCCCTGGAAATCCAGGCGCGTCGACAACTGAAACGCCCAGCGAAACAACCAAAGATCCCGAAATGACGGGGAAACCTGAAACGACGACTTCTGAAAGACCTGAGATAACCTCTACAAATTCTCCTGAAATCACTGAGTCAACCAGCGAGCCACAAACGACAGGAAAACCAGAAACTTCGACAACAGAAATGCCACCAGAGACCAGCAAGAAACCTGAGACAACAAGGGTGCCTGAATCGACTGAAAATCCTGAGACTTCAACACCGGAAATTCCACCAGGAAGTACCGAAAATCCTGAGACAACGAGGGAACCTGAAATGACTGGAAATCCTGAAACTTCAACACCGGAAACCACACCAGGAAGTACAGAAAATCCTGAGACAACACCGAAAACTTCGACACCGGAAACCACACCAAGAAGCACCGAGAAACCTGATACAACCAAAGAACCTGAAACGACTGGAAATCCTGAAACGTCGACACCGAAAACCACACCAGGAAGTACCGAAAATCCTGAGACAACACCGGAAACTTCGACACCGGAAACCACACCAGGAAGCACCGAGAAACCTGAGACAACTAGGGAACCTGATACTACGGGAAACCCCGAAACGTCAACACCTGAATCCACCCCAGCAACTACTCAGGAACCAGAGGTCACCAAGGATCCCCAAACGACGGGAAATCCCGAAACTGAAATCCCACCAGGAAGCACCGAGAATCCTGAGACAACGAGGGAACCTGAAACGACGGTAAACCCCGAAACTTCGACACCGGAAACCTCACCAGGAAGTACCGAAAATCCTGAAACAACACCTGAAACTTCGACTCCGATAACCACACCAAGAAGCACCGAGAAACCTGAGACAACGAGGGAACCTGATACGACTGAAACCCCCGAAACTTCGACACCGGAAACCACACCAGGAAGCACCGAGAACCCCGAGACAACGAGGGAACCTGAAACGACTGGAAATCCTGAAACGACGGGAAACCCTGAAACTTCGACACCGGAAACCACACCAGGAAGCACCGAGAAACCTGAGACAACCAGGGAACCTGAAACGACTGGAAACCCCGAAACTTCAACAGCTGAATCCACCACAGGAACCACACAAGGACCCGAGGTCACCAAGGATCCCCAAACGACGGGAAACCCTGAAACTTCGACACCGAAAACCACACCAGGAAGCACCGAGCAACCTCAGACAACCCAGGAGCCAGAAAATCCTGAAACGTCGGCATCGACAGAAATGCCCTCAGAAACGACCACCGCATCTCAGACCACCTGGCAACCCGAGACGACTGAAAACTCCACAATCGAAACGACTACGGAATCTGGAAATTCCGAATCATCAACGCCTTCGGCAACTGAGCCAACTACCCAAGTCACCGAACCAGCTGAAACTACTCCAACTCCCACCACCGATGCCCCGGAATCCCATGAACCAACCAAAAGACCAGAAAATCCCGATCCAATTTTACCCGAAAACCCCAAGGAACGCTTTAATGCCTCCACCATTTGCCCTCTGCTCCCACATGGTACTCGGATCAAGGATCCAAATTATTGTAATATCTATATTGAATGCCAGAATGATACAAATGTTCGGGGTAGCTGTGATGACCTTTATTTCGATGCCAAAACTGGAAAATGTCAAGACCCTGGCACGGTGCGTTGTCTCTCCAGCCAACCATGCTTGGATAAGGATGGTGTCTTTGTTGCCGATCCCTATTCGTGTGAAACCTATTACTATTGCTCGCAGGGTGTGGGCATTCGGGGTAAATGTAGTTCGGGTATGTTTTTCAATCCGGACACGGGCTATTGTGTTCGGGACTTTTTCTGCCCCAACGGTCCCTATCCCGAGGATATGTGTAACATTGTGCCGGATGGCGTGAATATCCAGGTTCCCCAGCAATCCATGGAGTATCAGACATGTTGGGATTCGATATTGTATAATAACACCTGTCCGGAAACGTTTGTCTTTGACACTGGCCTGGGTTATTGCATCCCCACGGGACCCATACAGGATCCCTCGGATTTGGATTCCTCATTTCGTCCCGATCTCTATTGTCCCTATGTGGCCAATGGTACCCTGATTAAGGATCCCCGTTATTGTGATACCTATGTGGAGTGTATGAATGACACATATATACCCCATGCCTGTCGGGTGGGTCTGCATTTCGATTTGGAAAGTTTGAGCTGTACCGCTCCCGATGTGGCCAATTGTCTGACCATCAAACCCTGTCGCCACAAACATATGGTCAATGTTGCTGATCCTCATTCCTGCAGCCGTTATTTGTATTGCTTTAATGGCATTGCCAATCGGGTGCAATGTCCTCCGGGCCAGAATTTCAATCCCGAAACGGGTTTGTGTAACGCCAATTATCGCTGTAAGATTGAGCTTTTCCCCGATGACACGTGCAACATAATTCCCCAGGGGGTGGGTATTAAAAAATACATTGCCGAGGACAATGGGTATCAGGTTTGTGTTGACAAAAATTTGGAAGCCCGTTTCTGTGCCGTTGAATGGACCTATGACATCTTCAGTGGGGAATGTTTGCCGCCCGTCATCAAATGTACCCAAGATGGCGTGTTTATATCCGATGGCAATACCTGTGATGGTTATTACTATTGTATGGCTACCAAGGAGGGTTTCACCATGATTTATGGCCGCTGTCAAACGAATCGTTTCTTTGATCCCTCCGATGGTGGACGTTGTGTGGTGCGTACCAATATTGCCTGTCGTCATGATCGTTGTGTCACCCTGGGCTATAATGGCATTCAGCTGGCCAATGTGTTTGGTGATGGCTGTCGCGGATTTGCCATATGTCAGGATGGCAAGGAGATTGGAAGGAATGTTTGCCCCGCTAAACTTTATTTCGACGAGGCCAGCCAAAGGTGTGAGTCACACGAAGTCAACTACAGGGCGTGCGAAGTGATGGGGTAGAATTAAAAAAAATGTAAATAAATGTAAAAAGAAGATATGAAAGAAGAAGATATGAAAATATAGTTAAAGGATATATAAGGTTCGCCTGTGGCTTCATTTCATCCTCCTAACTCAGTACTGAAACAAAAGTTGGGATCTAGGATTTCCTCAGGCAAAACTGGTTGGATTTTTGACATTGTGCTGCCATCTATTTGTCATGTGTCAATTGAATTTCAGGTATTTTAGGTAGATTAAAAAAATATATGAAAAGTGGCACGTGCAGAAACAGATACCGCAAAAAGTAGACTTTAGATGTCCAAAAATATTTTGAGAAACCAGCAAACAAGACTTTCGAAACCTTGGCCCTGGTGCTGCCATCTATCTGTCAAATTTATTTACTGTACTGAATTTTAGATGGAACCTGAGATAAAATATCTAGTCTCTAAATATTTTTTGTCATGAAATCAAGACGAAAGCTCGAGGGGGCTCTTCATTTTGCCTGCATGAGGAATCTAGACGGTCTATATTGTGTAATTGCAACGCCATCTACAGGTCACCCTTTAATTTTTTTAAATTAAAATCTTTCTTTAAGAAACTTTTTTCGAAGGGTAACCCAACCTATTTTGAAAGTTGGGACGAGATAATTCGAAAAATTTAAGGGCTTTGATGCCCAAAACTGCTTTGGCACGCCAGGAAACAAGACTCAAATGTGCTGCCATCTATTTGTCAAATTTATTTAATGTACTGAATTTTAGATGGAACCTTAAACAAAATATCTAGTCTCTAAATATTTTTTGTCATAAAACCAAGACGAAAGCTCGAGGGGCCTTGTCATTTTGACTGGATGAGGAATCTAGACGGGCTATATTGTGCAATTGCAACGCCATCTATAGGTCATTTCATAACTTTTTTTAAATTAAATTCTTACACTAAGAAACTATTTTTGAGGTGTAACCCAACCTTTTTTTGAAAGTTGGAACAAGATAACTCGACAAATTAAAGGGCTCTGATGCCCAATACTGCTTTGACACGCCAGGGAACAAGACTCAAATGTGCTGCCATCTATCTGTCAAATTTTATGTACTGTACTGAATTTTAGATGAAACTTTAAACAAAATATCTAGTTTCTAAATGTTTTTTGCCAATAAAACCAAGACGAAAGCTCGAGGGGCCTGGTCATTTGGCCTGCATGAGGAATCTAGACGGACTATATTGTGTAATTGCAACGCCATCTATAGGTGATTTCATATATATATATTTTTAAATTAAACCTCTTTTTTGAGGTGTAACCCAACCTTTTTTGAAAGTTGGGACGAGATAATTCGAAAAATTAAAGGGCTCTGATGGCCAAAACTGCTTTGACGCGCCAGGAAACAAGACTTAAATGTGCTGCCCTCTATCTGTCAAATTTATTTAATGTACTGAATTTTAGATGGAACCTTAAACAAAATATCTGGTCTCTAAATGTTTTTTTTTGTTGTCATAAAACCAAGACGAAAGCTCGAGGGGCCTTGTCATTCTGTCTGGATGAGGAATCTAGACGGGCTATATTGTGTAATTGCAACGCCATCTATAGATCATTTCATAACTTTTTTTGTAAATTAAATTCTTACACTAAGAAACTTTTTTTGAGAGGTAACCCAACCTTTTTTAAAAGTTGGGACGAGATAATTCGAAAAATTAAAGGGCTTTGATGCCCAAAACTGCTTTGACACGCCAGGAAACAAGACTCAAATGTGCTGCCATCTATCTGTCAAATTTTATGTACTGTACTGAATTTTAAATGAAACTTTAAACAAAATATCTAGTTTCTAAATGTTTTTTGCCAATAAAACCAAGACGAAAGCTCGAGGGGCCTGGTCATTTGGCCTGCATGAGGAATCTAGACGGACTATATTGTGTAATTGCAACGCCATCTATAGGTAATTTCATAACTTTTTTTAAATTAAATTCTTAAACTAAGAAACTTTTTTCGAAGGGTAACCCAACCTTTTTTGAAAGTTGGGACGAGATAATTCGAAAAATTAAAGGGCTCTGATGGCCAAAACTGCTTTGAAACGCCAGGAAACAAGACTCAAATGTGCTGCCATCTATCTGTCAAATTTATTTAATGTACAGATTTTTAAATGGAACTTTAAACAAAATATCTGGTCTCTAAATGTTTTTTTTTTGCCATAAAACCAAGACGAAAGCTTGAGGGGCCTTGTCATTTTGCCTGCATGAGCAATCTAGACGGGCTACATTGTGTAATTGCAACGCCATCTATAGGTCATTTCATAACTTTTTTTTGTTAATTAAATTCTTTCACAAAAGAAACTTTTTTCGAGGTGTAACCCAACCTTTTTTGAAAGTTGGGACGAGATAACTCGACAAATTAAAGGGCTCTGATGCCCAAAACTGCTTTGACACACCAGGAAACAAGACTCAAGTGTGCTGCCATCTATCTGTCAAATTTCATATACTTAAAGGGGATTTTGGATCGGACCTTTAGCTTAGATTCCACCGTTTATCTATTGTGAGCTATGAGAACAAACCGAAAACTTGAGGACTCCTTTGGATTTTGAATCGATGAGGAAACAAGGCGGACGGCATTCCTTAATAGTAACGCCATCTATCCGTCATCGAATAACACAATTTTCTTTTATTAAAATCTCAAATTAAAAAAATCATCATCTTACTAAAAGTGGCAGCTTAAAGAAAATAGAGAGGAGTTCAATGTGATTGTGATAGCCGAATATGAAACAAAGTAGAGTTAGTGAGGACACAGAATTGCAACACTGCCATCTATATGTCATGTTATAGCTCAATATCATGTTTGGTGGGAAGATTTCAAGCAAACGTTGACGACTGTTGTCTGTCATAAAAAAACTCCGCAAAAAAGTTAAAGAGTGCAGGTATCCAAAACTATTTTGGCCACCTAGGAAACGAGACGCATTGTGCCATCTATCGGGGAAATACTACATACTTTAAGGGGGTTTTAAATGGGACCTTCAACTTAAAATCTGAACCCTGAAATAAGAATTAGCTATGAACTTAGTTGATTAGTTACTCTGACTGATAATGGCTTTATATTTAGCGGATAGCGAATATTTGGGCAACCGAGGAAACGAGACTTATTGTGTCGCCATCTATCGGTGAAATACCACACACTTTAAAGCGGTTTTAAATAGAAGCTTAAACTACAAATCTACCCTCTATATATAGTTTGTTATGAAAGAAGAATTAGCTATTAACTTAGTTGAGAGTCCCACCGTTGCTCTAACTGATAATGACATTTAGCGGGTAGATGGCGCCACACCAAACATTTTTTTTTATTTTTAAGTACGCCACATGTTTGAGGAGGTTTAACCAATGGTTTTCATTCCCTCAAATGATACAGACGTTAGATTTTAGCTGACCTTTCATATGAACAAAAAATATTACTGATTCTTGTATTCTATTCGACGTATAGATGGTGTCAAAGCGAGTATCTCCTTCAAGCAAACTCATCCAATGTTTCAGGTCATTAAGTCATCGTTAAAAACTTCTGAGAAAATGTAGAAATCGAATGAACAATTAATTATTAGAATATAATTATTTAGCTAAGAAGAATTAGTAAGCTGAGACTTCCGCCATTGCTCTGACTGATCGTGACATTATATTTAGCGAATAGATGGCGCCACAGCGAACATTTTTGTCTTTCGCTAAGTGCCACCATATCTTTGAGAAATATTAAGCAACAATTTCCACCTCTCAAAATGATACAGACATGATACATACTTTAAATTTTAGCCCCCCTGTCATATAATCAACATATTCTATACGACTGATAGATGGCGCCACAGCGAACTTTAAGCAAACACATCCAATGTTTGAGGTCATTAAGTCATGGCCAAAAATTCCTAAAATCGTGAGAAAATATACAAATCAATTGAAGAATACTATTTCAGTTGAGACTTCTACTATTGCTCTGACTGATTGTTTCGATTTATTTGGTGGATAGAAGGCGCCACAGCGAGCATTTCCTTTTTTTGGTCAAGGTCATTAAGTCGTAGTTAAAGACTTCTGAAATCAGTAAAATTCAATTGAAGAATATTAATTTAGCTGAGACTTCCTCCATTCCTTTGACTGATTGTGACTTTTTATTCTACGGATAGATGGCACCATAGCATTTCGTTAATAAAAGACCTCATATGTTTGAGGAATATTTAGTAATAATTTCCCTTCCTCAAAATAGTACACACATGACACACAAGTGGCATCACACTATATTTATTTTAGCCTTAAAAAAGTTCAGTTCAATGACGACAATCTCTCAAAATGACAAATAGATGGCAGTAGATTAGGGTAATGTATCCTAGTTCTCTTCTCTTAAGAGAGTAGCGCAAAGATGCCAATCTTTCAAAATGATTGTAAAATCTCACATAGATGGCAGCAGAGTATATGAATGCATCCAAGCTCTTTTATTTACTTCAAGTTCCAGTTTTTGCGCTATCACTCATCTCCTCTCCACTTTTTTAGCCTTCGTCGCCCTGCCATACAATAATAATACATGATTCTAATGAAGCGTATCTCTATGTCTGAAATCAGTTAAAAGTTCCATTTTCAATAACAAACCAGTAAAGAAATTAGATAAAGATATATATGGGAGCTATATCCAAATCTGAACCGATCTCGATAAAATTTGGCAAAGATATTTCTGAGCTGTATTTGATACATTTCCTTGAATATCGTTGTTACGGAGTGCATATTACGGCTGTGGTTAACAAATATAACAAATCGGATGAACAATATATATGGGAGCTATAGCTATATCTGAACCGATCTTCATTAAATTTGACGGTCGTATGTGCCAAATGCCATCCCATTTGGGCAAATATTAGAAGTTTGGTGCACAATCCAAGGTAAATCGGACGAAGTTATATATGGGAGCTATATCCAAATCTGAACCGATCTCGATAAAATTTAGCAAATGCATTTCTGAGCTGTATTTGATATATTTTCCCAAATATTGTAGTTACAGAGTGCATATTACGGCTGCGGAGGACAAAAATAACAAATCTGATGAACAATATATATGGGAGCTATAGCTATATCTGAACCGATTTCGATCAAATTTGGCATACTTATTTTCAGGCCTAATTTGGTTATATGTGCCAAATTCTATCCCATTTGGGCAAATATTACACGTTTGGTGCACAATAGAAGGCAAATCGGAAGAAGATATATATGGGGGAGCTATATCTAAATTTTTACCGATAATCTCTAATTTCAATAGCGTTCGTCCTTGGGCCAAACAAATGATTTGTACAAAATTTCATCTCAATCGGATAAAAAATGTAGGTCGCAGGTCGTTCACAAGAATACATGGACAGACGGACGGACGGACTGACATGCATAAATCAACTCAGAAAATGATTCTATGGAGATCCTCAAAAGTAACTATGGATCTATCTCGCTTCCTTCTCCATGTTACAAACAAATGCACAAAGACATAATACCCTTACCACTATGTGGTGTAGAGTATAAAAAGCTAGGTCGATAATTGGATGCAATATCATTCTGGATGACAATTGGGTTTTGTATTGGGGATAGATGGCGCTACAAAAATAATCATTTTCATTTTAGTGACTGTAAAATGACGCATAGATGGCGTCAGAGTATGCCAATGTATTCAAGCTCTTTTCTTTATTTCAAAATTCCTTCTTTAGCATTCGGCGACCTGCTGTTCAATGAAAATACATAATTCCAATAAATCGTATCTCTTTGTCGGAAATAAGTTAAAGGTTCCTTTTCGATAAAAAAAAAGCTATGTTGATGTTGACTACAGGTTTTTGCATTACGGATAGATGGCGATAATTATGTTTATATTAGGGAACCATCTGTTAAAGAAAAAACAGTTTATAATTTCCATTTCGTAAAATTATACAAAAATGACATATAGATGGCAGCATACTATCCGAATTTTACTATCAATAGATTACAGCAAGGATGTCCATCTCTAAACACGGTAAATGATTGACATAAAGATGTCAGCACAATAATATTATATTTTCAAGCACTCTTTCTCTATCTCTCTCTATTTTTATTTCAAAATCTATTTTTATAATCTCACCTCACCTATCTCCTCCCCAGCCATTTTAACATTGATAAATAATTGATTTCGTTGATACGGTGTACTACTACTCTAGATGACAATTGATGGTCATGAGGGATAGATGGCGTCACAATAATTACGTTTTTATTAGGGTACCATCTATAATCCATTTCCACACTCTCAACTATCTCAATCCCAACTGATTTGGATCTCGACGCTCTGGCACGCAATTAAAATATAATTTCGAATAGTATCTCGGACTGATAAGTTCGGATTGAGAAATAATGGGGTGTACTACTGCTCTAGATGACTATTTGGATTTCGTATTACGAACAGATGGCGCCACAGCGAAAATTATATTTATATAAGTGCACCATCTAGTGGAGGAAGATTAAGTGACGATTTCATCTCTCCTAAGTATACCAAATAAAATATAGATGGCAGCACATTTTCTGAATTTTAATCTCAATAGATTACAGCAATGATGCCCATCTCTAAACACGGTAATGAATCTTTTTTTTCAAAATTACTTTTAATACTCCCACCTATCTCCACCTCAATTTATTTGAACCTCGACGCTCTGGTACGCAATCAAAATATAATTTCGACGAATAGTATCTCGGACTGATAAGTTGGCTATCTTCAGATGATAAATAATCGAATTCGGACAGATGGCGCCACAGCGAAAATTATATTGATATAAGTGCACCATCTTTTGGAGGAAGATAAAGTGACGATTTCATCTCTCCTACAATAAAATATAGATGGCAGCACGTTTTCTGAATTTTTATCGCAGTAGATTACAGCAAAGATGCCCATCTCTAAACACGGTAATGAAATGACATACAGATGGCAGCACAAAAACATTACATTTTCTCTTTCTCTTTTTTTCATAATCCTTTTTACACTCCCACCTATCACCATCTCAATTTATTTGGACCTCGACGCTCTGGAACGAAATGAAATGACGAAGAGAAACACTAAGCGATGGTTTTATCTCTCTAAATTATATCAAATCGAAATATAGATGGCAGCACACTCTCTTAATTTTACTCTCAATAGATTACAGCAAGGATGCCTATCTCTCAAGAGAATTAAGTACTGGCATATAGATGGCAGCACAAAAAATTATATGCTCTTCTTCTCTCTTTTTCATATCAAAATCCCATTTTTAATTCCGATGACTTTTGGTTTTACGGACAGATGGCGCCACAACGAAAATTATATTTACGTTAGTGCACCATCTGTTAGAGGAAAATTAAGCCATGATTTCATCTTTTCAAATTATACCAAAACGCTCTTTTTCTATTTTTTTCTCTCTCCCCCCCCCCCATTTTCTTTTGGTCCCGACGCCCTGGAATACAATTAAAATATAATTCCAATGAAGAGTATCTCTTCATCTGAAATCAGTTTATGGGTTCTTGTTATGGGTTCTATCTTTAGATTGATAAAGAGAAAGCAATTTGTATGATGAGTTCGACGATTAGGGGAACTACTTGAGATTCAATCGGGTGCGAATTGCATAGAATGGCAAGTAGTTCAATGGGTCTAGAGGGAGGTGGCTGACTATGCCAACCAGCGTCATGGATTCAGAGAAATATTATTGAAGTAAAAAAAAAACGAAACAAAACAAAACTCCCGGCTGTGCTGCCGGCTTTTATCAGCTGGTAGCCGCCATATATTATCGGCCCCCTAATACTTGTCCGAAATTTATGGCCATTACTTTAGGCTAAATTTCTTATGCCGGGCTGGGAGCAAACTTTCACGGCCAGCCGGTAGTATTGGCTTGATTGCTATCTGAAACAGTTTGTTGTGATTTTTTTGCGGAAGATTTTCCCAGAGGATACTGAAACTTTAGAGCAGCTCACCAGAATGGGTAGGAAGGTTTTAAGAAAGAAAGGGGGAAATTAATATAACTTCTTTATGACCAGGATCCCATTGCTTTGGAAGAAAAAATCTCGTCTTGTTAATATACCTAATTTTGTGGGGCGTCCATGGCTACTTGGCCCAGGCGATTGGGGATTTTGATACCCGATTTTTGTGTTCCCAGCTGAGAAACGACGTTCCTTTTCAAGATCCTGGATATGGAAATAGCTACCTGGGATGTAATGATGGGCGGGGAATTGAGGTGAACAAGAATGCGACAGCATTGGTAGAACCTAAAACCCTGGCAAATGAAAAACTCTCCGAGGATCCAGAGACAATGCGGAACCCAGAGAAGAAGACTTCGACAAGGGAAATTTTAAAACCTCCCAAAATCGAGAAGATACCCCAGACAATCAAGGAGCCGGAGACTCCTAAAACCTTGGCATATGAAAAATTCTCAGAGAGCACCAGGAAATATCAGATGCTTGGAAATCCTGAAAATAGCGTAAATGTCGAGATCGATCCGATGAACAAGGAATCGAACACCCCTCTATTCTTAGCTGAGATCTTGGGGCCGGCAATCCAAAACTACCAATTTAACGAAGATTACCAATCCACAGTCCCCACCGAAGTCGGTCCTGAATTCCATGAACCCACCAAACAACCTGAAAATTCCGATCCAGAAATTCCCAATGGTCCTAGGGAATATTTTGATGCCTCCACCATATGTCCCCTGCTTCCACATGGTACCCGTATCAAGGATCCAAATTTTTGCAATTTCTTTATTGAATGTCAGAATGATATCATCCTCTGGGGTAGCTGTGATGACCTTTATTTTGATGCCAAAACTGGAAAATGTCAAGACCCTGCCATGGTGCGTTGTCTCTCCAGCCAACCATGTTTGTATAAGGATGGTGTCTTTGTTGCCGATCCTTATTCGTGTGAAACCTATTATTATTGTTCGCAGGGTGTGGGCATTCGGGGTACATGTAGTTCGGGTATGTTTTTCAATCCGGACACAGGCTATTGTGTCCGAGACTTTCCCTGTCCCATCGTCCTGTATCCGGAAGATGTGTGTAACATTGTGCCGGATGGTGTGAATATCCAAGTTCCTCAGCAATCCAGGGAGTATCAGACATGTTGGGATTCAATACTGTATAATAACACCTGTCCGGAAACATTTGTCTTTGACACTGGCCGGGGTTATTGCATCCCCACGGGTCCCATACAGGATCCAACGGATTTGGAGTCCTCATTCCGTCCAGAACACTATTGTCCCTTTGTGGCCTATGGTACTCTGATCAAGGATCCTCGTTACTGTGACACCTATGTGGAGTGTATGGATGATAGGAATAAGCCCCACACCTGTCCGGAGGGTCTACATTTCGATTTGGAATCTTTGACCTGTACCGATCCGAATACGGCCAAATGTCTGACAATCAAACCCTGTCGCCACAAACATATGGTAAATGTGGCCGACCCATTTTCCTGCAGCAGTTACCTGTATTGCTATAATGGCATTGCCAGCCGGGTCCAATGTCCGACTGGCCAAAATTTCAATCCCGATACGGGTTTGTGCACCACCAATTATCGCTGCCAAATCGAAGTTCACCCGGAGGACACGTGCAATATAATTCCCGAGGGAATTGGCTTCAAGGAAGACAACATCACCGATGACCGGGCCTATCAGGTATGTGTGGACAAAAAATTGGAACAGCGTCTCTGTCCCTACCCATGGGAATGGAACATCTTCGGCGGACAATGTTTGCCACCTGTAGTTAAATGTACCCAATATGGGGTTTTCATGTCCGACGGCTATACCTGTGACGGTTATATGTATTGTAAGGACCAAGTCCAAACGTATCATTCCAGATGTGAACAGAATCGTTTCTTTGATCCTACGGAGGGTGGACAATGCGTTCTGCGTACCAATATTGCCTGTCCCTATGATCGTTGTGTCACCCTGGGCTATGAGGGCATTCAAATGGCCAACATTTTCAATGACGACTGCAGGGGATATGCCATCTGCCAGGATGGCAAGGAGATTGCAAGGAATGTTTGTCCCTCAGGACTTTATTTTGATGAGGCCACACAAAAGTGCGAGTCGTACAAAGTAGAATACATGGCATGTAAAAAAACAATGTAAAATACTGAAGAAAATCAATAAATCAAATAAAGACAATGTGTCTATTAAAAAATGTCGTAAACCTGTCGTAAACCTGTATAAAACTCCTAAAACCAAGAAATTCATATTGGAATGGGTAAATATACCAATTTTACATTCGATAACACAAAAATCGTGTTTGTCAAAAATGTCATAAACTTGTATAATATGTCGTAAACCTGTATAAAATCCACTAAGCAATGGAATTCGTAAAGAAATGCATAACTTCATTAATTATGCATTGAAAATCATCAAAATTGTGTTTGTCAAAAATGTCAAAAAGTTGTATAATATGTTGTAAACCTGTATAAAACTCCCAAAACGAAGAAATTCATATTGGAATGGGTAAATATACCAATTTTACATTTAATAACACAAAATTCGTGTTTGTCAAAAATGTCATAAACTTGTATAATATATCGTAAACCTGTATAAAATCCACTAAACAATGGAATTCGTAAAGAAATGCATAACTGCATGAATTTTACTTTTAAAATCATCAAATTGGTGTTTGTCAAAAATGTCATAAACTTGTATAATATGTCGTAAACCTGTATAAAACCCACTAAACCACAGAATTCGTAAGGAAATTCATAACTGCATGAATTTTACATTGAAAATCATCTAAATGATATTTGTCAAAAATGTCATAAACTTGTATAATATGTCGTAAACCTGTATAAAACCCACAAAACAATGGAATGCGTATGGAAATGCATAACTGCTTTAATTATGCATTGAAAATCATCAAAATTGTATTTGTCAAAAATGTCAAAAAGTCGTACAATATGTCGTAAACCTGTATAAAACTCCCAAAACGAAGAAATTCATATTGGAATGGGTAAATATACCAATTTTACATTTAATAACACAAAATTCGTGTTTGTCAAAAATGTCGTAAACTTGTATAATATGTTGTAAACTTGTATAAAACTCTTAAAACAAAGAGATTCTTAAAGAAATGCATAACTGCATAAATTTCACTTATAAAATCAGCAAATTGTTGTTTGTCAAAAATGTCGCAAACTTGTATAATATGTTGTAAGCCTGTATAAAACCCACTAAGTAATGGAATTCGTAAAGAAATACGTAACTGCATTAATTATGCATTAAAATCATCAAAATTGTGTTTGTCAAAAATGTCAAAAAGTTATATAATATGTTGTAAACCTGTATAAAACTCCTAAAACAATTAAATTCGTATTAGAATGGGTAAATATACCAATTTTACATTTGATAAAACAAAATTCGTGTTTGTCAAAAATGTTAAAAAGTTGTATAATATGTCGTAAACCTGTATAAATCCCACTAAACAATGGAATTCGTAAAGAAATACATAACTGCATTAATTGTACATTGAAAATCATCAAAATGGTGTTTGTCAAAAGGTTGTATAATATGTTGTAAACCTGTATAAAATTCCTAAAACAAAGAAACTCATATTGGAGTGTGTGTAAATATACCAATTTTACATTTAATAACACAAAATTCGTGTTTGTCAAAAATGTCATAAACTTGTATATTATGTCGTAAACCTGTATAAAACCCTCTAAACAATGGAATTCGTAAAGAAATGCATAACTGCATAAGTTTTACATTAAAAATTACCAATGTGGTTGTTGTCAAAAATGTCATAAACTTGTATAATATGTCGTAAACCTGTATAAAACTCATAAAACATGGAAAATTTTAATGGAATGCATTATTTCGTAGTTTTTACTTATAAAATCATCAAATTGGTGTTTGTCAAAAATGTCACAAACCCGTATAATATATAGAAAACTGGGGAAATTCAATGAATTATGTTTGTACAAAGTAAAAAGTACATGCAATTTATGTTGTGAACCAAGTATTTTGAATTTGTATATAATGTATAAAACTCGAGAAACACATGTCGTAAACTTGTAAAAAAACTAGGAAACAGCTGAAAATTACCAAAAACCATTATGGATTGTTAAGTGAAATGTTTTAGGCATGCAAAAATTAAAAAATGCCTTCTGTAAGAAATGTCGTAAACCTGTATAATTTGTAGAAAACTTGGAAATTTCTATCTAAATGTTATACATGTTTAATAAGTGAAATATGTGGCAGGTAAATATGATCCATCAAGTGTCACAAACCTGTATAAAAGGTATAAAACTAGGAAATAGTACATTTTTTTTGGTATTCATGTTACGGAGGGCATTTTCCATTCGGTCTCTGCTCATTTAGGACCATGTTATCTTTTGGTATATCGACAAAATCGATTACGTTAAAAAGTTTATCAATTGCAGGCGGTTTCTGTAGATAATCAAATATTGCCAAGGCAATGATAAAAATTCCCTTAAAACACGATATGGCGAATGGGAGGCGTTTAGAGGAAATGCTGATGATTAACTGCCAAAAATTATATCTTTGTGTTATGAAAGTATTGAGTTACATACGATTTTTGGTGATATTAATAAACCTGAGCAAAAATAGTGTTGCTATAATTCTCCTAAAGTTGTAAGGCATCTGCCAGGGGGGGGACTATTCTACGCTATCTTCCATTCGAATCAGGCAATTAAATTTTTATGGATCCTCCTCTATTGGAAACTGTTATAATTTTATGCCATCGATTGGGGTTCAAAGACTTTTTCTTTGTTAGTCGTTCAAATCTCTAGCCACAGAACAGATGGATAGCATTTTGACATTCGAAAAAGTAAAGTCGAGAAGAAAATAAATAATTTTTGAAAAAAAATTAAAAAAATATAAATTTTCAAAAGTTTGTAAAATTTGTAAGTTTTGAAACCAAAAAAGAGCCAAGATAAAATAGATTACAAAAATGTGTTACAAAAACATGTTGCCCTAATCAAGGGCGGGCATAATGTCTGTGTGATTATCGGCAAGAAATGTGTACAGCTTTTTGCTAGAAATTATTTTTCAGCAGCAATTGTCCACTTTAGATGAATGGTGTTAAAGCAAAACGTGTTCTACACAAAATTTTACCAAATATTACTCACTCAAAGTAGTTTTTTGCTGTGACAGAATTTAAGAAAAATTTAGAAATAAAAAATAAAAAAATTTTATTTATTTTTTTGGGACCAATTTTGTTCTCTTTTTGAGCTTAGGTCCCGAATTTCCCTCAATTTGCCACTTAAGGTGGAAAGTGTCAGAGGAAAAATTATTGCCCATAAAATTTCATTGCAGATCATTGACAAACATCAATATGTAACTATAACAGATTTCTAGAAAATCATGGAAATATTGGGGATGTAGCATTTTTGGTCCATTTTTAAACTTTTTTTTGAGTTTGAACCCAAATTGTTAATAAATTGCCCAATTAGCTGGATGATGTCAAAGAAGGAAATATTCTACACAAAATTTGACCATAGGTGCCAGATTAATGGAAATTTATAGATATAACGGATCGCAAGAAAATATCAATGGGATTTTGGTTTAATTACTTTTTTCTGCCATTTTTGTCTTATTTCGGACTCAGGGACCAAATGTCCCACTAATCGTCAATTTAGAGGCAAAGTGTCAAGGGAAAAAATATTTGACATAAAATTTTCTCATGGGTCGCCGACAAAGCGAAATTCATAGCTCCAACGGATTCCAAGAAAATCTCCCCCCAAAAAATTGGGCCAAAATAATTTTTTGGTTCAATTTTTCAAAAATTTTGAATCCAGCCCCAAAATATCCCCTAATATGACATTTTAGGTAAATAATACCAATTACAAAAATAATCTCCATGAAAATCGACTATGGGTCGCCAAACAAAAATCAATTCTATTTGTAACACATTACCCGATAATTTCATTGGAAAAGAGGGCACGTTGTGTTTTTAGTCAAATTTTGCACTTTTTTCAAATGTTGTGCCGAAAAGACCCCAAGGCTTCACTTGAGGTACATGGAACCAAAGGAAGATTTATTCCTTTTTAAATTTCACTATAAGTTTCCGACGAACAGATATTTGTATATATAATAGATTAGTGATATAATCCATTTAAATTTGAATATACATTTTTTTGGTCGAATTTGGCATGTTATGAATCAAGGCCCAAAATTTCAGCCAGTATGAAACTTTAGGTGAATAGTTCCAATGAAGAATATGTTCTTTGCAAAATTCTACCCGAGATCACCAAACACGCAAAATTTCTAGCTGTAATAGGTTTCAAAGAAATCCCAATATAAAAATGGAAAAAAACTATATTTGTTACAATTTTCCAGCTTTTTTCGTTTTTGAGCCAAAATTACCCCTAATGGTTGACCTTAGGTACATGGATCCAAGGAAGGATATATTTCTTTTCAAATTTCACTATGAGTCTCCTACGTACAGATTTTTGTACATATAATAGATTCCAAAGAAATCCCCTTAAAATTTGGACTTATGTACTTTTTGGTCGATTTTACAATATTTTTGATTTGGATCCGAAATGTCCCCTAGGGTTACATTTTAGGTGGATGGCACCAAAGAGAAAAATATTCTTTAGAGAATTCTGTTAGGGGTCACCAGATAACACAATTCTCTAGATATAATAGATTTTAAAGAAATGTCACAAAAATAAATGTCAAAAAATGTCATACAAATATGTTGGCCCAATTCTGCACTTTATTCGAATCTGAGCCAAAACAACCACCAACGGTTCATCTTAGGCACATATAACCAAAGAAGAATATATTCCTTATAAAATTTTACTATAAGTCACCTGCGAACAGATTTTTGTACATATAATAGATTCCAAAGAAATCCCGTTAACATTTAGAAATTTATATTTTTGGTCGAATTTTGCAAGATTTTTGAATTGGGGCCCAATATAACCACCAATGCTTCGCCTTAGGTACATGAAACCAAAGAAGGAAACATTCCTTATCAAATTTCACTATGAGTCCCTTACGGACAGATTTTTGTATACATAACAGATTCCAAAGAAATCCCGTTAACATTTAGGAATTCATATTTTTGGTCGAATTTTGCAAGATTTTTGAAGTGGAGCCCAGTAAAACCACTAATGCTTCACCTTAGGCACATGTAACTAAAGAAAGATATATTCCTTATCAAATTTCACTATGAGTCCCCTTCGGACAGATTTTTGAACATATAATAGATTCCAAGAAATTCCGTTAACATTTAGGAATTCATATATTTGGTCGAATTTTGCAAGATTTTTGAATTGGGGTCCAATATAACCTCCAATGCTTCACCTTAGGTACATATGACCAAAGGAAGATTAATTCCTTATAAAATTTCACTATAAGTCTCCTATGAACAGATTTTTCTATATATAATAGATTCCAAAGAAATCCCGTTAACATTGGGGCATATATTCTTTTTGGTCGAATTTGGTATTTTTTTGAATCGGGACCGAAAATTTCCCCTAAAATGTTATTCGATGTAGTTGGCCTCAATGGAAAAAATATTATTCATGCAATTCTACTATGGGTCACCAAGCAAATAAAATTTCTAGCTGTTGTTGATTTCTAAGAAAATCCTCCTCAAACATACCCCAAAATGTTGTTTTTTTTTTGTTCAAATTTGCACTTCTTTTGTACCCCCAGGGGTACATGTTAGCTGGATGCCACCAATGGAAGTTGTATTTTCCACCAAATTTCACCATAAGTCCCAAAACACGACATGGTCCTATACATCATATTTACCCCCAAAATATGGCTGTCAAATTAATTTCCGATTAATATTTCTTTTTTTTTGATTTCTCATCCTTCTCTCATTTCAGGCAATATGGCATTGAAATCAATTCCTTTCATTGCTCTGCTGTATTTAATGCTCTCAACAGTCGGTCCCAGCTATGGCCAACCGGAAACAACCTTTGACCCCGACACCCTATGTCCCCTGGTGGCCCATGGTACCAAGATTAAAGATCCACGCTATTGCAACATTTATGTGGAATGCCTTGAGAATGACATTGTTACCAGATCGTGTGAAGATTTATATTTCGATATTCAGCTGGGACAATGTGTGGATCCGCTAACGACAACATGCCTCTCCAGCCAACCATGCATTGGGAAGAATGGGGTCTTCGTTGCCGATCCCTACAACTGCGAGTCCTATTATTACTGTTCCAATGGCGTGGGTATCCAGGGCCAGTGTAGTGCTGGCATGTCCTTTAATCCGGAAACAGGCTTTTGTGTACGTGATTTCCCCTGTCACATAACCATGTATCCGGAGGATTATTGCAATCTCTTTGCAGAGGGAGTTTTCGTTAAGGTGCCGGATTCGTGTCGGCATTACCAGACCTGTTGGCGTTCGGAGCTGATAAATGGCAGCTGTCCGGGTATTTTGTTTTTCGATGCCCCTCGCGGCGGCTGTGATGATCCGCTGAAGGTGGACTGTGACGAGCCAATGCCCGAGATACCCGAACATGTGGTATGTCGGGAAAATAATGAATTCATTTCGGACGGCATCAGTTGTGATGGTTATTTCTTTTGCCAACAGAATTTGGATGGAGAATTTCGAATGTTCCCCGGCAGCTGCCCCAAGGGGAGATTCTTTGACAAGGGCGAATGTGTACCAAGGTCACATACGAAATGTGACCATGATCGTTGTGTGGGCATGGGCTATGAGTACATGCAAATGGTGAACATTGATGGGGATGGGTGTCGGGGTTTTGCCGTTTGTCAAAGGGGTAAAGAAATCGGCCGGTCCCAGTGTCCGGAGGGATGGTATTTTGATGAATGGGAACAGTTTTGTGTTGACAAGGAAATTCAATATGAATCTTGTAGAGATGGGTTGGGAACTACCCCAAGACCCATGGAGACCATTACGAACGAGGATATGCTGAATAATTTGAAAATACGAAATTCCAGCTGAATTTTTGTTTTGAAAAATTTTTTGAATTTTTTTTGTCAAAAAGTCATTTCCATAACAAAATAATCTTATCAGATTTTATGTGGATAAAAAACGAATATCGAAACTTTGGATTGAATGTCCAAATGTTATCAGAATTCTAGAGAAGAAAAAAAAAATAAACAAAATTATAAACAATTGTTTGTTGTTGTTGTTTTTATTTATTATTTTATTAAATGCATGATATTGAAAATCATAAAATATGGTCAGTTTGGTTTCAATGGCCGAATATTCCAACAATGCTTCATGTTCGAAGTATGGTGCCAAAGGAGGAAATATTCTACATCGAATTTTGTTATGAGTTATGTAACAAAATAAATTTCCAGATACGATAGATTTCAAAGAAATTTCAATTTCTTTGGGGTATTTTCATCTTTTTTCGACCAAATTTAGGGTTATTTAACTTAGGTACGCAATTGGCCCCTAAAACGTATCGATAGGAGCATGATGTTAAGGAGAGAAATATTTCCTATCAAATTTCAGTACAGGTCTCGGAGAAAGAGAAATTTATAGGTCCAAAAAATTTTAGAGAAATTTAAATTCAAAATTGAGATAAAAATATATATTTTTTTTGTCAAATTTGACCCATTTTCTATATGTCCCAAAATTTTCCCTGAAATATTTATTTTCGATGAATAGTGTCAATGGAAGAAATATTCTACATCAAATTTCACTATGAGTTATGGAACAAAATAAATTTCCAGATACGATAGATTCCAAAGAAATTCCAATTTCTTTAAGGTATTTTCATCTTTTTTCGACCAAATTTGTGGTTCTTTGTTTTTGGGTACTGAATTGGCCCCTAAAACGTCTCGTTGGGAGCATGATGTCAAGGAGAGAAATATTTCCCATCAAATTTTACTATAGGTCTCGGAGAAAGAGAAATTTCTAGGTCCAATAGATTTCAAAGAAATTTAAATTCAAAATTGACATAAATGGGCCAAATTTTGCCCAATTTCAATATGTCCCAATTTTTCCTTGAAAATTTTATTTTTGAAGAATAGTGTCAAGGGAGGAAATATTCTACATCAAATTCCACTATGAGTTATGGAACAAAATAAATTTTCAGATATAATAGATGGCAAAGAAATTTCGATTTCTTTTGGGTATTTTCATCTTTTTTTGACCAAATTTCTGGTTTTTTGCTTTTAGGTACTTAGTTGGCCCCTAAGACGTATCGATGGGAGCATGAAGTCAAAGAGAGAAATATTCCCCAGCAAATTTCACTATAGGTCTCAAAGAAAGAGAAATTTATAGGTCCAATAGATTTCAAAGAAATTTTAATTCAAATTTGACATAAATAAATCTATTTGGCCAAATTTGACCCATTTTCAATATGTCCCAATTTTTTTCCGGAAATATTTATTTAAGATGAATAGTATCAATGTGGGAAATATTCTACATTAAATTCCACTATGAGTTATGGAACAAAATAAATTTCCAGATACGATAGATTCCAAAGAAATTTCGATTTCTTTTGGGTATTTTCATCTTTTTTCGACCAAATTTGTGGTTCTTTACCTTAGGCACGCAATTGGCCCCTAAAACGTCTCGTTGGGAGCATGATGTCAAGGAGAGAAATATTTCCCATCAAATTTTACTATAGGTCTCGGAGAAAGAGAAATTTATAGGTCCAATAGATTTCAAAGAAATTTAAATTCAAAATTTGACATAAATATATTTGGGCCAAATTTGGCCCTTTTTCAATATTTCCCAATTTTGTCCTTAAATATTTATTTTACATGAATAGTGTCAAAGGAGGAAATATTCTACATCAGATTTCAATATGAGTTATGAAACAAAATAAATTTCCAGATACAATAGATTCCAAACAAAATCCAAAATACCCAAAAGAGTATTTTCATCCTTTTTCCGACCAAATTTGTGGTTCTTTGGTTTTGGGTACTGAATTGGCCTCTAAAACGTCCCGTTGGGAGCATGATGTCAAGGAGAGAAATATTTCTTACCAAATTTCAATATGGGTCTCAGTAGAAGAGAAATTTTTAGGACCAACAGATATCAAATAAAATTTAAATTCAAAATTGAGATAAAAATATTTTTTTTTTTGTCAAATTTGACCCATTTTCAATATGTCCCAATTTTTCCCTGAAATATTTATTTTTGATGAATAGTGTCAATGGGGGAAATGTTCCCCATCAAATTTCACTATAGGTCTCGGAGAAAGATAAATTTATAGGTCCAACAGATTTCAAAGAAATTAAAATTCAAAATTGAGAAAAAAAATATTTTGTTTGTCAAATTTGGTCAATTTTCAACAAGTCCCAATTTTTCCTTGAAATTTTTATTTTTGAAGAATGGTGTCAATGGGGGAAATATTCTACATCAAATTTCACCATGAGTTATGGAACAAAATAAATTTCCAGATACGATAGATTCCAAAGAAATTTCAATTTCTTTTGGGTATTTTCATCTTTTTTCGACCAAATTTGTGGTTCTTTGTTTTTGGGTACTGAATTAGCCCCTAAAACGTCTCGTTAGGAACATGATGCCAAGGAGAGAAATATTTCTCATCAAATTTCACTATGAATCTCGGAAGAAGAGAAATTTATAGGTCCAACAGATTTCAAAGGAATTTACATTCAAATTTTACATAAATAAATTTGCGCCAAATTTGGCCCATTTTCAATATGTCCTAATTTCTCCCTGAAATATTTATTTTAGATAAATAGTGTCAATGGGGGAAATATTCTACATCAAATTTCACTATGAGTTATGAAACAAAATAAATTTCCAGATACGATAGATTTCAAAGAAATTTTGATTTCTTTTGGGTATATTCATCTTTTTTCGACCAAATTTATGGTTTTTTGCCTTTAGGTACACAGTTGGTATCTAAAACGTCTCGATGGGAGCATGATGTCAATTAGAGAAATATTCCCCATCAAATTTCACTATAGGTCTCGAAAGGAATAAAAATTATAGGTCAAACCGATTTCAAAGAAATTTTAATTCAAATTTGACATAATTATATTTTTTGTTTTGCCAAATTTTACCCATTTTCAATTTGTCCCAATTTTTTTCTCAAATATTTATTTTAGATAAATTGAGTCAATGGGAGAAATATTCTCCATTAAATTTCACTATAGGTCTCTGAAGAAGAAAAAATTGTAAATCCAAGAGATTTCAAAGAAATTTCAATAAAACTTGGGCATAAAGATGTTTTGGATCAAATTTGAGCCATTTCTAAGATATCCCAATTTTTGGTTGAATTTTTCCCCCTTTGCTCCATAACATACTCTACTTGGCTGTGAGGTGTGAGAGAGAGAGAGAGAGAAAATTGTTCTCCATGAAACTTCACTAGAAATTTCCAAGGAATGGAACTTTATAGCCCAACACAAAATCTTATTTTTTTTTTTTTAAGGAATTACTTGCCAATTTCTTTTATTGAAAATTCCAACTTTTGACAATTGTTTTTGGGGCAATCAAAGAAAAACAAACAAATTTTACTTCATCTTCCTTAGGCCGAACAGGCTGCATAGCTAACTACCCGACGTGTACAACCCTGGGAGCGTTCATCGAAGAAATAGTCACTGGGACAGAAACCCGTTTCAGCGGTCTTGCCATCGGCGCACATGGCATAGGCCTTGCAGTTGCCGGCCACATTGACGTATTTGTTTTCGGTGGCCTCACAACGATCGTAGGTACATTTGACATTCAGACGGTCGCGACACGACAGGGTGTCGGTGTCAAAGAACTGGCCATTGGTGCAGGAGAAGTGTTCGGGTTTGCGATCGCGGCTGCCATCGGCGGTCTTCTTGCAGAAATAATAGCCACTGCAGGTGGCGCCATCGGAAACGGGTCCCACGACAACGGTGCCATTGTGGGAGCAGACACGAACTTCGGGTTCGGGTTTCTTGGCCGAGGGCATGCAGACGACCTCGGAGACGGGAACGCATAGACCCTTCAAATAATCCCAGGCCTGTTCGTCGTTACAGGCCTGTGTCGAGAGACTACCGTTCAGACAGTGGCTGTATTTGGTACAGTCCTGCTTGTCGGCAAAGTACACATCGTTGGGCAGGGACAAACAGATGGGGTTTTGTTTGGCCTTCTTGTCCTTTTTCGGTTCGGGACAGGTATATTGGGAGGCATAGACACATTCAGTTTTTTTGGGATCGAAGACCATATGGGTTGGGCAATTGGCCTTAATCTCTTCACCAGCCTTGCAATAAACATAGCCGCTGCAGTTCTCTTCATCGGCCAAGAAGGAGCCTTCGTTCTTGGCATTGCAACGTTCTACCTTGACGGGGGTGTTGTTCTCGTAGGGACATTCCATTTCATCCTTGTAGACGCAGGAGCCCATGTCCTTGTTGAAGTACAGGCCATTGACACAGGAGCCTTCTTCGTATTCGTCCGACTCGGGCGTGGCTGGACATCTAACCCAATTGGTGCAGGTGTTGGGGCGCAGAATGGTGGCACCGGGCAACAGGGAGCACAGTTCCTCTACGGTGGGGGTTGGGGTCTCTTTGGAGACAGTCTTGGCATAGCCGAGGCCGAAGAGAGCCAACGAAAGCACACACAATAATTCAACTGGAAAAATAAAAGAAATATTGAAATCTTAGGTTCCAAAACTCCCTACCCCGACTCATTACCTTTCAGCATTGTTCCTTACTCTCGGTTTGGGTCTGTTGTCGTCTGTGTTATAGATGATTGCAGACTGATGCTTCTTTCCTGTGCCGCTCTCCCTATAAATATGCAAAAAAGCTTGGCCTCATCTTTGCCATCACAGATGCCCTTATCACCTTGGCCCTGGTTCAGATAATTTGATGATTTTCTTTTTGTTTCCTCCAGATGACAAGTTCAAATCATGTTTTTTTCCCTATCGACATTGAAGATCTGCTGGGTTGTGATAAAAAACAATTCTTTGGTATTTTGGAATGGTAAATTACCAACAAAAAAAGGGAAGTCATCGAATCGAATGTCTTGACATTTTATCTATTGATAGGAAGCGAATAAAAAAACTGTTTGAACTTCAAAGAAGCTTGTTCTCTGTTTCCGATGGACTTCTTGGTACAATGTTCAAATTTACAAAAAAAAAACGAGAGGAGTTAAAAGATGCCATGAAGAGAGAGAGAGAGAGAGAGAGAGAGGAGAAGAAAAAAATGCAGTGATCCCTTGAAGGGTTTCAAGTTTAAGGTAAATTCCGGTATAAGGATAGGTTTTTGGGGCTTGGTGTGAAAGGAAAAAATAATTAACATAAAATTTCACTATAGGTCCCGGACCAACATAAATCCGTAGATATAATATATATCACTTAAATAACAGGTACAATTTGACTATATGATTTTTAGGGTAATTTTTTGATATGTTTCAATTCGATACCAAATTGGGCCACAATGCTTCGCTTTAGGTAATTGGTGTTCAAGGATAAAATAATCTGCATCAAACTTCACTAGGACTCTTCAACCAAGAGAAATCTGTAGGTATAACACATAACAATATAATATCGCTTTAAACATAGGGTCTTATTTTTGGGAAAATTTTGTATTATTTTCGATTTTTTGCCAAATTGACCCACTGTGCCTCAATTTAGGTGCTTGAGGTAAAGAGAAAAAATGTTCCCCATTATATTTCACTAGGGGTCCCCGACTATCGAAGATCTGTAGATGTTATGTGGAACCTTGAAAATTTGTTTCAATATGCATTTGTAATTTTTTCAAAGATTTTCTATATTTTCAATAGAGGTTTTGATTTCGAGTGAAATTCGACAAAAAGTGTTAGTTTTTCGGACTTGATATTAAAGGGGCAATTAATCTACACAAAATTTCACTATGGGACCCAGATCAACATAAATCGGTAAACTTAATATATATCACTTTAATAGCAGGTACAATTTGATTATATGATTTTTTAGGGTAATTTTTCGATATGTTTCAATTCGAGACCAAATTTAGCCACAATGTTTCACTTTAGCTCATTGGGGTTAAAGGATAAAATAATCAGCATCCAATTTGACTATGACCCTCCGACCAAGAAAAATCTGTAGGTGTACCACATAGCAATATAATATCGCTTAAAACATAGGGTCTTATTTTTGGGAAACTTTTGTATTATTTTCGATTTTTGCCGAATTGACCCATTGTGCTTTAATTTAGGTGCTGGATGTAAAGGGAAAAAATGTTCCCCATTAAATTTCACTATAGGTCTCAGACCAACAAAAATCCGTAGATATAATATATATCACTTTAATAGCAGGTACAATTTGATTATATGATTTTTCAGGGTAATTTTTTTATATGTTTCAATTCGATACCAAATTGAGCCACAATGCTTCACTTTAGGTAATTGGTGTTAAAGGATAAAATAATCTACATCCAATTTGACTAGGACCCTCCGACCAAGAGAAATCTGTAGGTGTACCACATAGCAATATAATATCGCTTAAAACATAGGGTCTTATTTTTGGGAAAATTTTGTATTATTTTCGATTTTTTTGCCAAATTGACCCACTGTGCCTCAATTTAGGTGCTTGATGTAAAGAGCAAAAATGCTCCCCATTAAATTTCACTAGGGGTCCCCGCCTATCGAAGATCTGTAGATATTATGTGGAACCTAGAAAATAATTTACAATTTGTATTTGTAATTTTTTTTCAAGGATATTGCATATTTTCAATAATGTAGAGAGAGGTTTTGATTTCGAGTGAAATTCGACAAAAAGTGTTAGTTTTTCGGACTTGATATTAAAGGGGCAATTAATCTACACAAAATTTCACTATGGGACCCAGACCAACATAAATCCGTAGACTCAATATATATCACTTTAATAGCAGGTACAATTTGATTATATGAATTTTTAGGGTAATTTTTCGATATGTTTCAATTCGAGACCAAATTTAGCCACAATGTTTCACTTTAGCTCATTGGGGTTAAAGGATAAAATAATCTGCATCCAATTTTACTGGGACCCTCCGACCAAGAGAAATTTGTAGATATACCACATAGCAATATAATATCGCTTAAAACATAGGGTCTTATTTTTTGGTAACATTTTGCATTTTTTTCGATTTTTTGCCAAATTGACTCACTGTACCCCAATTTAGGTGTTTGATGTAAAAGGGAAAAATGTTCCCCATTAAATTTCACTAGGGGTCCCCGACTATCGAAGATCTGTAGATGTTATGTGGAACCTAGAAAATAATTTACAATTTGTATTTGTAATTTTTTTCAAGGATATTGCGTATTTTCAATAATGTAGAGAGATGCTTTGATTTCGAGTGAAATTCAACCAAAAGTATTAGTTTTTCGGGATTGATATTAGAGGAGCAATTAATCTACACAAAATTTCATTATGGGTCTCAGACCAACATTAATCCGTAAACTTAATATATATCACTTTAATAGCAGGTACAATTTGATTATATGATTTTTCAGGGTAATTTTTTGAAATGTTTCAATTCGATATCAAATTGAGCCACAATGCTTCACTTTAGGTAATTGGTGTTAAAGGATAAAATAATCTACATCCAATTTGACTGGGACCCTCCGACCAAGAGAAATTTGTAGATACACCACATAGCAATATAATATCGCTTAAAACATAGGCTCTTATTTTTTGGTAACATTTTGCATTATTTTCGATTTTTTGCCAAATTGACCCACTGTGCCTCAATTTAGTTGCTTGATGTTAAAGGAACAATAAATCTACAGAAAATTTCACTGTGGGTCTCGGACCAACATAGATCCGTAGATATAATATATATCAATTAAATATCACCTACAATTTGAATATGTGATTTTCATGGTATTTTTTAATATTTTTCAATTCGACACCAAACTGAGCCACAATATTTTACCTTAGTCACATGGTGCTGAAGAATAAAATAATCTGCATTCAATTTCACTAAGACACTCCGACGAAGAGAAAACTGTGGGTGTAATATATATCTTTATAATAGGGCCTTAAAAACGGGGTCTTATTTTTTTGTAACATTTTCCATTATTTTCGATTTATTGCCAAATTGGCCCACTGTGCCACAATTGAGCTATTTGATGTAAAGGACAAAAATATTCCCCATTAAATTTCGAAATGAATCACTACCTAACAGGAATCTGTAACTGTGATATATATCCCAGAAAAATGTCCTACGATTTACTTGTAACCAAATTTCTGACGAATTTCGATACTTTTCAATTCAAGATCAAATGGTGGGACTGTGCTTTAGTTTTGAAGGTTGATGTCAAGGGAAAAAATATTCTTCACTAAATTCCATTACAGGTCTCCAAACAAGGGATATCTCTAGGAATAATACATAACTTTATAATAGCCCCTCTGGTAACCGCTGGCCTTAAAACCAACGTCTTATGGGAAATTTTTTGTTATTTTGCTTTTGGGCCACTTCGGGAGCCTGAGCCTGATTTTTGGTAGTTGGTGCCAAGGAAAAAGTTGTTCCTTATTAAATTCCAATGGGTGCTCCCGACTACCGAAAACCGTTATATATAACAGATAACTGTAAAAATTGGTTATTATTTGCATACATCGGATTTTTTTTATAGAAAATTTCTATGCTTTTTCGGTTTTAGGCTAATTTGACCGACTCTGCCTCACTTTCGGTTCCTTTTGTCAAAGTAAAAAATGTTGCTTGTCAAATTCCCTTTGAGGTCACTGACCATCGAAAATCTGTATATATAACAGATATCCTTAAAAAGTAGGTTTAAATTTGTATACATAACGTTTGAGAGGAAATTTTTGTATTTTCTTGGTTTTTGGCCAAATTAGCCCACTTTGCCTCACTTTTGGTACTTTTCCTCAAAGTAAAAATTATTGCTCCTTAAATTTCCTTTAAAGTGTCTGAACACCGAAAATCTGTAGATATAACAGATATCCTTAAAAAATCGGTTATAATATGTATACATAGCGTTTTGGAGGAAATTTTTGTATTTTCTTTGTTTTTGGCCAAATTGGCTCACTGTGCCTCACTTTTCGTTCTTTTTGTCAAAGTAAAAAAAGTTCCTCGTCAAATTACGTTTGAAGTCCCATTCCACCGAAAATCTGTATATATAACAGATACGCTTAAAAAATCGGTTATAATATGTATACATAACGTTTTTGAGGAAATGTTTTTTTCTTGGTTTTTGCCCAAATTGGCCCACTCTCCCTCACTTTTGGTACTTCTTCTCAAAGTAAAAATTATTGCTCCTTAAATTTCCTTTAAAGTGTCTGAACACCGAAAATCTATATATATAACAGATATCCTTAAAAAATCGGTTATAATTGGTAAACATATATTTTTGAGGGAATTTTTGCATTGTTTCTGTTTTTTTTGGCCAAATTGACCCACTGTGGTTAACTTTCGTTACTAGCTGCCAAGGAAAAAGATCTTCCTCCTTGAATTCTAGATAGAGTCTACGATAACTGCAAATCGGTATATATAACAGATAACTGTAAAAATCGGATATAATCGGATTTTTTAAAGAAATGTTTTATGTTTGTTTTTTCGGTTTTAGGCCAATATGACCCACTGTGCTTTGCCTTTGGTAGTTAATGTTAAAGAAAAAAATTAAGCTTACTCAATTCCCTTTGAGGTCACGGACCATCAAAAATCTCTATATATAACTGATGACCTTAAAAAATCGGTGCGAATTATTATTTAAATTTTCTATGGGGAATTTTTCTATATATCATGAATTATGGCCGATTTGAGCCACTGTACTTAAAGTTAAGTTACTGATGTCAAAGAAAAAAATATTCACGATTGAATTTCCTTTGGGGTCTCTGACTACCGAAAATCTGTATATATAACTCATGACC